AAGGAAAAGTGTTGCAAGCAACAGTAGTGGGTGTGGGATCAGGCTCCAAAGGAAAGGATGGAGAGATACAACCTGTTAGTGTACAAGTTGGAGATAAAGTTCTTCTGCCAGAATATGGAGGCACCAAAGTAGTTTTAGATGACAAGGATTGTTTCTTATTTAGAGATGGTGACATTCTTGGAAAGTACATAGACTGAAATAAATCACTGAGATGGCATCACATGAAGCTGCCCATTCCACTGATACCCTGAAATCTTTCATCATGTAAATAATTTCCATGTGTCTCCCTTTTATAATAAACCAATGATACCTAAACTGATGACATCTATTGTCTCTGAAGTTTAGTTTCACTGTACCTGCATAAACATTTCCAAATAAAATATGTAAACAAATGGGTACTTTTTAAAAATAAATAAATAAATTGAGCGCCAGTGGGGCTAGGTATTGAATCCAGGGCCTCACACATACTAAGCATGTGCTCCACTAGAGCTCCACCCCAGCCCAAAACTATGGATTATAATACACTTCAAAATTCAGTTTTTTTTGTTGATTATCCAGTAATCCAGTAATTCAGATACCTTAGTTAGTACATAGTTTCATATAACCTATAACAAATGCTAATCACTGAAAACATTAAATATGTATTTATTTTTACTAAAGATATATGTATATATACTCATTTTATTTCTATAATTTGTTCTTCCAGATGTATCTTTTATAACTAGGATTTTTTTTTTTTTTCTGGTGGCACTGGGCCCTCATGCTTGCTAGGTAGGCACCCTTACCATTTAAGTCACTCCACCAGCCCTCATGACTAGGATTTCATTTTGAGTACACAGTGAAAACTCAAATTTGTTTCTATTTCTTCAATGTTTTAAAATATATTAAAGATAATTTAGGCCAGACACTGGTGGCTCATACCTGTAATCCTAGCTACTCAGGATGCAGATCAGGAAAATCATGGTTCAAAGCCAACCCCGGCAAATAGTTAGAGAGACCCTATCTCGAAAATACCCATCACAGAAAGGGCTGGCAGAGTGGCTCAAGATTAAGGCAAAGCAAAAATAAATAAAAGGGAACTCAGTCCAGGATCACACACCACGGAAAGGCCATATGAGAGCATTCCACAGGAAGGCAGCCATAAGCAAGCCAGGATAAAGGCCCTTAGCAGGAAACAAATATGCCAGCACCTTGGTCTTGGATTTTCCAGTCTTCAGAACTAGGAGAAATAAATGCCACCCAGTCTGTGGCATTTTGCTATGGTAGCCTGAACTGACCAAAATAAGACATATTTACCTTTCTGAAGCATTAGGCTCTGCTGTTTTCTATTGTCCTAAGAAATGAGCTGGCACAGGTACTGGTGGCTCACACCTATAATCCTAGCTACTTGGGAAGCTGAGATGGGGAGGATCAAGGCTCAAGGCCAGCCTGGGCAAATAGTTCATGAGATCACATCTCCAAAATAACCAGAGAAAAACAGACTGGAGGTATGGCTCAAGTGGTAGAGCACCTGCTTTGCAAGCATGAAGCCCTGAGTTCAAAGCCCAGTCCCACCAAAAAAAAAAAAAAAAAAGAGCAGGATGTGGTGATGTACGCCTGTAAACCTAGCACTGAGGAGATGGAAGAGGAGAATAGACAGTTCCAGGTAAGCCTAAACTACATAGCAAGACCCTATCTCAAAAGAGAGAGCCGGCACCATGGCTCATGCCTAGCTACTCAGGCAGCAGAGATCAAGAGGATCATGGTTTGAAGCCAGCCTGGGCAAATAGTTCCATATCTCAAATAGAGATATGGTCTCAATAGACCATATCTCAAAAAAACTCTTCGCAAAAAAGGGCTGGTAGAGTGGCTCAAGGTATAGGCCCTGAGTTCAAGCCCTGGTACCACAAAAAAAAAAAAGAGACAAAGAAAATGTGATTTAGGAGGTGGAGGCCTTTGGGAGGTGATACGCTCATGAAGACAGAGTCCTCATGAATGGGATTAATAAAGAAGTCCCAGAGAATTGCCTAGTCTCTTTCTTTTACCATAAGAGGTCACAGTGAGAAAGTATCAATGTATGAATTAGGAAGCAAGCCCTCACCAGACACCAAATCTTTAGAGCCTTGACTTTGGATTTTCCAACCTCCAGAACTAGGAGAAATAAATTTGTCATCCATAAGCCACCCACAGTCTATGGAATAGGATTTTGTTACAGCAGCCCAAGTGGACTAAGATGCCATGAAGCCTCCCATCTCCTAAATCAGAATAATTTGTTTTTCTTAGCTCTCCCTCAACACATTGCTGATATCTTTTTCATAGCAATTAATTTTCCCATACTTAGTGATTTACCTAATCTAATACTTTCCTTAACTGACGGTTCAACAATATACTAATAATTGTATCCCTCCACAGACTAGCACAATGATTGAAGGAGCCCAATAAATATCAAAATCAAGTTTTATCAAACCGAAAAGCCCAGGAAATTTAACAGTTTACTATGGTAGATCTTTCTGCAAAGCAAATAATCTCTTCTTAATAAAAATTTTTAAAGTACAAATTCCTATAAAATACTGACCTTACAAAGTAATAAACACCTACCTACATATAAGCCAATTAAGTATTATTTAGAAAATCTTTATAATTGTGTAAGATTCTTACAAAAGGAAACTTTTGGTCTCACACTGAGGTGCCCAATCATATACTCACTAACCACTCAGCTGTGAAGTACAAATTATCCCCCATCTTTTCTTCTTTCCTCTCATTTTATTTTTTGTGGTACTGGAGTCTGAACTCAATCACTTTGCTAGGCAGGCATTCTACTACTTGAGCCACACATCGAGCCCAAAAAGGTGAAATTTCAAAAGAGCTACCCTAGGCTCAAGTGTGAAGAATAAAGTTTACCTCGACAAATGTGAACACGGTACAAAAGTCCCATTGCTATGTGGCACAGTAACAATGATGCACAAATTAACATGTCAAAGTAAATTTGTATTCCAAGTTTTACCAGATTATAACACTAATTTCTGTTCACAGAAGCCTGAGCAAACATGTACAGAAATCAGTGTTGCTAATTTTGTCATACACTCATTTTTTTTTTTTTTTTGTGGCATGGGGCTTGGCTAGGCAGGTGCTCTACTGCTTGAGCCACTCCAGCAGCCCCATATTTTTAAAAACTAAGGGCTGGGATATAGCTCAGTGCTAGGCCTAAACATGTGCAAGACCCTGGATTCAACCCCAACACGTGTCTTTTCTGTGCCAAATTTATGGATAAAATACCTACTAGGATCTGAAAACAAAAGGTGAGCCCAACCACTTGTGCTACTTGAGTTTTTTCTTGTTCTTAAAAAAAAAAAAAAAAAAGGGTTAGAGATATATGGGGATATAACTCATAAACACTATGAACAGGAACCAAGACTCCAAGACTTGGGTGTATTCCCTATACTCCCTCACTCTCAGTTCTCTGAGAGATTCCCACCCACCAAATTTTCTTTTAAACAAGACACCCAAATCAGTAGCAAAGGTACCTGCGGTAGACATTGAGACTCTGAACACCAGGAATGGGAGAGAGAAAGTCCAAAAAATAGGAGCTTGGGAGACAAGGGAAGGAATGAAGGAGAGGGTAGGGTCTAGAGGACAGAGTTGGGCCGCAAAAGGTGGAAATGAGCCAATATGGGGGGGTACCCCACCTGACTATTGCCGCCCACACTCCCCTGACCCCAGACAACCCCATGGTTTATTCTGCAGTCCACTCCCTATTCCTAAGGGCCTCACAGGCCCAGCTCCAAGTCCTCTAGCTCCTCCTCCAGCGCCCTCCTCCTTGCCAGCTTCTCCAGCTGCTCTTTGCTGGGCTGGCTGACTTCGCCAGCCTGGATCCGCTGCTGCAGCTCTTCCACCTGCCGAAGCTTCTTCTTTAGGTTCTTTATCTTCTTGGCTTTCTCTGTGGTGGCAGCTGAGTCAGGCAGGTCAGGGGCAGCTGGAGGAGCTGCCTGGGAGCCTTGCAGCACGCTGGGGAGTTGAGCTGTCTCTCCCAGGGACACCTTCTCAAGAGTCCGGCTCAAAGCCTCTGCCTCTCCTCTCTCCTGCTGCTGCCGCCTCTTCTCCTTTCGCTTCAGGTTGCGTTTGGCTGTCTTAGAGAGGCCTGGTTCACCACCTTCAGGTCTGGATGGAGTTACTAGAGCGGTAGCCTCAGGGCTCAACCCTGGTGGAAGCTCTGGTTTACTCTTGAAAAACTTTACATATTTATTTTCATACCTGCAGGAAACAGAAGATGTCAACAAAGTTCCCAAGAATCACTAACTTTCCCATCCTTTTCAAAACCTTCCAAATCACATTCCTACTTCCTTCCTTTCTTTAGGTCCCTCTCCAACTTTGCTCTGCAGGAGATGCTGTAGAAGGTCTTTAGGGCCCAAAGTTCTGGATCTCTGACTTCTATTTGAAGGTTCTGATGAACTGAGGTCACAGGAACAAGACTAGTCACATGGAATCCTCACTTACCCCTGAATCCCAGCTCCTTTCTCTCCTTTCTCAGACAGTTGCCCCTTCTTCCATTTCCTTGGGGCTCAGAGAGTCATCCCTGAACTTGCAGGCACACATATTCTATATTTCTGTAGGGACCCTATGAAATACCCCCTTCTCAAGCCTAACCACGCACACTGGGACCTCCTCCTGGGGCACGTAGCCTTCTTTCACCCTCCGCTGCTTGCGCCAGGTCCCGTCAGGTCGCTGTGTTGAGGCAATGTACTTGCCTGAAATTAAAGGAATTAAGTTGGAGTTACTTCTTATTTTCAAAACATTTCCCAAGATGTCAGGATGCATAAATTAACACAGCTTCCTCCAGCACCCATCTGCCCACCAAATGTAAATTGCTAACATCTTTTTCCATATCAACCCTCAATCCCTCTCTCATCATTTACATGGTGATTATGCACTATACAACATACCATCCTCACCTTCAGGGAGCCCCTTTTTTATAATTTACAAAAGACAGAAAAGGCATAGAGGATATTTTAAAATACACAAAGCAATGCCATGTGTGGTGGCTCACACCTGTAATCTCAACTACTTGGGAGGCAGAGGTTAGGAGGATCATGTTTGGAAACTAGCTTGAGCAAAAAGTCAGTGAGACCCCATTTCAATAAAACATGCCAGGCATGGTGGTGTGTACCTGCAATCTCAGCAACAAGGGAGGCCACAGATGGGAAGATCACAGTCCAAGCCCAAGCTCAGGCAAAAAGTGAGACCCTACTTGAAAAGTAACCTAAAGCATAAAGGACTGGAGGCTCAGCTCAAGTGGTAGATTGACTGCCTAGCAACCACAAGGACCAGAGTTCAAACCCCCAATACTGCCAACAAGAAACAAAAAACCAAGGCAATAGCAAGAGGATATTAAAGGCATAAATGAACAAGAAGTTAAAAGGGGGCAAAAACAAGAACCCTTGGTAGGAGAAATGATACAAGGAGATGTTACAGAGAAAGAGAAATTTCATCTAGATGGACTTTGTAAAACAAGACAATTTTTAGGAATATATACTATAAGCTTGGCATAGTACCTCATACCTGTACTCCCAGCACTTAGAAGGCTGAGGCAGGAAGATTGAGAGTTGGAGGCCAGCCTGGGCTACACAGTAAGACCTTGTCACACATACACACACAAAAAGGGAAAAAAATAGGAATGTACACTATAGATATAAAAGCACCAGTATACAAGGATATAAGTAAAGGATGTTTCTTGATACATTACTTAAATTAGTAAAAAGATAAAAGCACTTTAAATGGCTATCTACAGATGATCCAATAGATTTGGTTCATTCACTCAATGAAACATGATGCTGTTGTTAAAAAGAATGTTAAAGCCAGGTGTGGTAGTACACACTTGTAATCCTAGCGCTTGGGAGGTTAAGGCAGGAGGACTGAGAGTTCCAGGCCAGCCTAGACTACATAGTGAAACCCTGAATAGTGTTCACAATATATTAAGTGAAAAAGCAAATTACAGGATAACATGTAGAGGTCCTCAAACTTTTTTTACTTCCAGACTCTTACACTCTTGTTTGTAATATTATTTACTTATTTATTTGGTGGTACTAGGCTTTGAACTCAGGGCCTCATGCTTGCTAGGTAGGCGCTCTACCACTTGAGCCATTCCACCAGTCCGATATTATAAATTTTTATGCAACAGTAAAAAAAAAGTCACATTCATTAATTTCCTTCAGAAAAGTCTTTAAGTACTGGGAAGCTTTCAAACTCACAGTGGCAGATATGAGTTACAGAAAATTCCAATTTGCAGTTGAGAGTTTGAATTTTACCACTGACAACAAATAGTGTCACAGATGTTTTGTTTGAAATGGTAGACCTACTTCTTTCAGTTTCAGGAAAATGACTGTCAGATACATCTGAATTACCATAATTTGTCAGAGGGTCTTTCAAGTACAAATGTGTCTCATTAAAAGGAAGCCTGTTTAGCTTACAATTGGAGCACTTGGGCAAGTGCTTTTCTTTAAGACAGCCACCTTACAGCAATAGTTCATGCTTACTTCCCATTTCATCACCGAGAACACTGAAAAGATGTGTACTCAAAAGCCAGAGCTTGCTTAATCATTTTTACTGCATAATCAAATGATTTTAAGTAAAACTGGTATAAATTACTGCAAGTGTGTGGCAAAGAACACCATGAGCGGTACAGTTTGGCAGATTTATATATCTTTTGTATTATCATTGCAAAAGTCAATACAGTGAAAAGGGCAAATAAGTATTATAATTATGATGAAAGTGGTTTTGCTTGCAGAACTCTTAAAAGGGTCTTAGGACCCCCCCCCCCACACACACACACTTATCCCAAACATCCTGGACAATAATTTTTTTTTTTGCCATACTGGGATTTGAACACAGGGTTTACACCGTGAGCCACTCCACCAGCCCTTTGTTGTGAAGGGTATTTTTGAGATTGGGTCACATGAACTATTTGCCCAGGCTGACTTTGAACCACACTTTCCTCCTGATCTAGGATTACAGGTGTGAGGCATTGGCACTCAGCCAAAACAATACTTTTGAAAAACACTGGTGTAGAGTATGGTCCCATTCTTATCGGGGCAAGGCTTAGGACCTTTTAGGTTCATGTAGTCTGTGTGTCAGGGCAAAGAAAAATATGGAAGGCCACAAATAAAGCCTTTAATGCTGGTTACCTTAAGAGGGATAAGCTGGAAGAAGTGGTAGAAACTATTAATTTCTTCAATGAGAAGTTAGAGAGGAGGTGAATGTTAACTTCTTTCTTTCTTTCTTTTTTTTTTTTTTTGCAGTACTGGGGTTTGAACTCAGGGCCTACACCTTGAGCCACTCTACCAGCCCTATTTTCGTGCTGGGTTTTTTTGAGATAGGGTCTCACGAACTATTTGCCTCGGCTGGCTTTGAACCACAATCCTCCTGATCTCTGCCTGCTGAGTAGCTAGGATTACAAGCATGAGCCACCAGTGCCCAGCCACCAGTGCCCAGTGAATATTAATTTCTTTAATGAGAAGTTAATGAGAGAGAATGAATTGTTCATTCAGAAAAAAACAAAGTATTGCTTTTGCAAAAATAAAAAGATTTATAAAAGAAAGTCAACCCAGGTGCTGGTAGCTCATGCTGCAATCCTAGCTATTTGGGAGGCCGAGATCGGGAGGATCACAGTTTGAAGCCAGACCAAACAAATAGTTAGTGAGAGCCCATCTCCAAAATAACCAGAGAAAGAGCTGGGATGTAGTTCAGTGGCAGAGTGCTTGCTTAGCATGCTTAAGGCCCTGGTTTCGATCCCTAGCACCAAAAAAGCAGACAAATAATAATAATAACAACCAGAGAAAACTGGACTGGAAGTGTGGCTTAAGCAGTAGAGTGCTTGCTTTGCAAGCATGAAGCCCTGAGTTCAAAGCCCAGTCCCACCAAAAAAAAAAAGGAAGAAAGTTAAGTCAGGCTGGGTATACAGTGGCTCACACCTGTAATACTAGCTAATTGGGAGGCAGAGATAGGGAAGATTGTGGTTCAAGGTGGTCACAGGCAAAGCGTTAGTGAGACCCCCTTCTAAACCAAAGGCAGGGAGTGGTGGTGTGCATCTATCATCCTAGCTAGGCGGGTTGAGGTCCAGGCTGGCTCAGGGAATAAAGTGAGACCCTATCTCCAAAAATAACCAGGGCAAAAAGGGCTGGCTGATTGGCTCAAGCAAAAGAGTGCCTACCTAGTATACACAAAGCCCTGAGTTCAACCCCAGTACCACCAAAACAAAACAAAAGAAACAAACAAACAAAAAAATCAAGCCTAGGACCTCTCACCTAGATTATAAATTCTTACCTGAATTTTTTGTTCAAAACGTAAGCATCATTAATAAATTACAGCCAAAAATTTACAAAGAAAATGGGTAAGAAAATATGAGAAGTAGGGCTGGTGGAGTGGCTCAAGTAGTAAGAGTGCTTGCCTAGCAAGCATGAGGTCCTGAGTTAAAATCCCAGTGCCAATTTAAAAAAAAAAAAAACAGGTAGAGGAATGGAATAAAGAAAGAAATATGGGCTGGGAGCTGGTGGCTCCAAACCTATAATCCTAGCTACTCAGGAGGCAAAGATCAGGAGGACTGCAGTTCGCAGCAAGCCTGGGCAAATAGTTCATGAGATCCTATCTAGAAAAAACCCTTCACAAAAATAGGGTTGGTGGAGTGACTCAAGATGAAGGCCCTAAGTTCAAGCCCCAGTTCTGCAAAAAGAAAAAAAAGGCTTATGGAGTGGCTCAAGGTATAGGCCTGGAGTTCAAACTTCAGTACTGAAAAAAAAGAAAAGGGGCTTGAACATGAGCAGACAAAGGCTAATGGGCATGGGTATTTAGGGAACAGGACAGGTGCCCAGGTGAACCAGACAGCTCATAACAGGGAACAATAGGAAATCAGGCTGGGAATGAAAAATGGAGCCAGGTCTTAGGAAGCCTTAAAAAAACAGATCAAGGAAACTGGCTCTTATCTGGTGAGTAAAAGAGAAACAGGATACAGTAAGGATATTTTTTGGTTAGCTGTGATAGTATGAAAACAAGAGTAAAATCCAAATAATGAAAACTACTAAAGAGGCATAATAGAGGGAGGACAGAGACGAGGGCTGGGCTTTCAAGAACGAGTCAAACTAAAATAAATAAAAAGGGAGTCAGAATAGACTTGAAACAAAAGTTCATTCTAAAACAAAAATTCAGAAACAGGAATGCAGATGGCATATTCAGGAGATGATAAATAGATGAGGCTGGCAGAGGCAGAGAAAGAACTGGGGTAGGGAGAGGAGGATGTTCAGATGGTGACTGTCAGTTAAGGAGTTTAATATTTGACACATGGCATGCATTCAATAAATATTTGTCAAATCAATGAATCCTTTATCCAAAGTGGTGTTTTAGGGCAATGAGTCTGGCAAGATGAGAAGGGGAATTGGAAAAGAAAAACACTGAAGACTGGGAAAACCAGTTAGGAAAAAAAAAATTGCAATAATCTGGCAGGAAAAGGCAGCAATGGCTGAAAACAGTAAGAATACAAAGGAGAAAGTCATACTGGATACATTATCAAAGAATTAACAAGACTTGGTAATCCACTGACAAGGGGAAGGGTAAGAGGGTTAAAAATAAAAAATAATTTAACATGTTTAGAAATTCCAATCTTAAGAATTTAGTGTAAAACGGCTATCGGAATGGCTCAAGTGGTAGAGCACGGGCCTAGCACGCTTGAGGCTCTAAGTTCAAAACCCAATACCAACAA